CTTTGAATGTTACTCGGCTCCTCCTTGGGTAGAATTGTCTTCATTGTCGCAGTACACGTTTGCCGAGCAGAAATCCCTCCCTGGTTGGCGGTGCTCACACCATCTGTTCAGATAGTGTACGTCTGCACGTCCATCGCAAAGGTCCCAAACCTCAGTGCTACCTTGCCCGGACACCTTGGATCCAGCTTTGGTGCAAGCATAATGGCTACTAATCTCCTTCCACATTCGCTTCAGCTTTGCTGCTGAATATGCCATGCCAGAAGACGTATCGACGCCTTTGAAGCCAGAGTCGTCTGAGATCAATGTGTCATATTCAGTAGTATCTGCGGCAAACACATTCGCAATATCTACCCCAATGACGATCTACACTCATTGATCACGTCACGTACAATCAAGTTCCCTGCCGTGAGAACCAGCCCGAAAACAGTACGCTCACAAGACAAAACATACAGCCGGTACTACAACATCAGAGCGACTATTGAAGCAGCCATGAGCGAGTTCACGTGCCCTCGTTGTACGCGCGCCTTTGCCCATGCATCCTCTGCTTACTAGCTACGACGAAAGACTTATTCCCAACTAATAATAAACTGCGTCGAAACTCCATCCATGACACAACAACGCGTAGGTCAATGTCGTAGATCTAGTATACCTCAAGCGCATGTCTAAAGTAACTATCATTGTCTGAAATGTGGATGTAGAAGAGTGAGAAGGAATTAAATTGCACGACGTTAGTTTGTTGCTTTTACTACAGCCATTCAACGAAACATTTTACCGCAACGTTAACTGTTCGATAAAATGTAAATCCACATTAGCCCGAAGCGTACGGCAAATAAATTAATGTTGTATAAATCTTCATGAAATGTTAAGACAACATGTGGAGCACATAATGCACACCTGACAAAACTCGTGGTGACACCGAGCTCATTGTATATGGCTTTCAGCTGGGCCATAGCAGACTGGACAGTTGTTTCCCTGAAAATCAGACTCGAAAGCTTCAGCTGACTGCAAAAAATCGTGTGCACGTGTGTCCTCGGTGGTCTGTGATGTAGCCGGAGCACTACTTCGCCTTTCGCAGCGGCGTTCATTGCGACGAATGCGATGGTGGCGCTCTACCGCTGCTCTGACGCGAGTGTTATAGCATATAAATATATATTTTGATGCCGGCAAACAGAGGGTGCATGGGTTAAGCCGCGCTTACAACGAGGGCACGTGAACTCGCTCATGGTTGCTTCAATAGTCGCTCTGAATAATATCCAACCTTACTCTTAATGTTTTAGCCAAACAAAGTTTGTCTAAAAACAGATGGGTGAGTGGGTCGATGTATATACCCAAATCCGATTTACGAACACTGATCACAGTCCGCATTGAAAGAGGCGACAAATCAGCCACAACGCTGCTTTCGGTGTCTTTCGCCCTACAGACGCCCGCACGCCGTTCTTGTTCACGGTCAGCCGGTATGCAACTAACGATATTCGTTTTCTCGGCAGAGTACTTTTTCTAATTGTTATGTGAGTCTTAACGAGGTAATGAGGCTATCTTACCGTCCTCCAGCACACTGTAAAGTCGTGTAAAGCCCGACCGGAGGAAACTTCGTGTCTGGGTACTGACTGAACTGACATGTAGATTATATGGGAGAAACACAGGGATGACGAGGGCGATTAAGCAAAGCATGATGACAGAATATGGCAAGCTCTAGATTCTGCAAACAAATGCGGAGGACAACGATTCATCAGTTAGAATTAGATGGCTCGATTGGAGGCAAACAAGCGAAGGTCATCGCTTTGACAGCCATCGCTACACCGGTCAGGATAAAGCGCTAGGTCTAAGCTGTATCTTCCGCAATAAATTATCTTCCGTACCTGATCTTGTTTCGACTTGAACAGTTGCGGCTCATCCGCTGCTGTTATATGTACATGAAATATGATCAAACGTGTCAACATTGGAAACAGCATCAAACAGCAAGAATATAAACGGATATATTTTGCTTAAGTCATCCGATATTGGTCCTCTGCATCGATGCTATCTTGACACGATTGGTGTCGTGCAAAGTCATTCTCGCCAGTCGGAATCGCCCCGTAGCTGGTGTATTTGAGCGCCAACATCTCAATATTTTCAACAGAAAGTCAATTCTCCTTT